AAAAAAAAAATTAAGTGCAAAAATCACAAAAACAAATATTCCCCCCCCCCCCCCCCCCCATTTTGGCACCAACAAAAGCTAGGACCAAACACGTGGAATAGAGCCACTTGTTGAGAGAAGATTTGTTGACAAAACTAACATCCAAATGGAGTTTGTTGAGCAACTTCTTGTATTTGTGATTAGAGGGATGTTGTTGACGAATCAATTGATAGGTAGAGACTAGTGTAGTGACCATCGTCTTTAGTTCTAAGACGGTCTTAGGGACTTCTTCAAACAAAGATGATGTCACTAACTCTTCCTATTAAGGCAAACGAGGTGCACTAATAGTAGGGATAAGGGCAATATAGGTATACATAAATCAAACATTTACAAGTAAATATACAATAAAATGAAAATAAAAAAGGGATGGTTAGACATAATGGAAACGTGGTTGGTAGAAAGCGTTGCAAGTAAAGGGCTTGGTAGCGAGAGGAAAAGGAGATTGCAAAACACCACGACCCATGGTGAGTATAAGAGAATATTTGTTAATTATAAAGGCTTCAAACTAGTGTGCTTTGGCATAATGCAGATACCTAGTATCTTTAACATATCTGATGGGACGTTCTTTCCCTTTGCAGGCAAAACATTGCATAGCCTTGCGTCTTAACTTAGCATGAAAGAATTTAGTCTAAGGCTAAATTTGACATGGTCTTCTGAGTGCACTAATCATGGTAGGAAGGTTTTGTGAAGTACCTTTGTAGCTAAGTTCAAGGCAACCCTTTTGTAGCAAGTGTTTTCATGCTCAAACCTTAGTTGCTTGATAAGCTCCATGGCTTGATCATTTAGATGAGTTGACCATACAAATAAAGGGGCTTGACCTAAAGTACTTCTTCAATGTGAGGATAAAATGCAATCTTATGCCCTTCTTTATGGTAGAAATGCAAGTACTTCTTCGTGTTCAAGTAAGATGATCTTTGTGGAGCATCGTTTATGAGGATAAAGTTGAGACTATCCTCTTCATCTATGAGCTTTTTCATTAACTGCTCTAGATCCTTAGAAGCAAAACTTGTTTGCCTCAATGGCTTCACTTGGTGGAACAGTTTAGGCATAGTCTTTTGGATTTCTTGAGTTTGACTCCACCAATGATATAGCCATGTTCAATGGTTCAACCTCAATTACACTAGAATCAACAGAAGGTGGTACAATTTCATTGGTTGTTCTAGTAGGTGTTCTAATAGTCTCTTCTTCTGGCATCGAGACTTCTCCAATACCTGCATGTTTAATAAATGGTTCCTTACACAGAATGACAAGTTCTATAGATGGTGCAGGAGGTGTTGGCAGTATGAGTGTTCAAAAAATTATTTTGAACTAAACCATTTTAAAAACTAAATTAAACTATAAAAAAACTAAACTATTTTTTTTATAAACTAAACTAAACAGTATTTTAAGTTTAGTTTAAAACCATAAAATGTAGTTTAGTGCACTTTAGTCATATAATTTTTTTTTTTGTTATAATGACTTTTGCATAATTGTTGTATTCAATCTACACAAATAATGATCTTTATTATAGTTAAGACTATATAATTTAAAGATTTTTTTAATGTTTTATCCAATTATACATTAACATGAATAAAATAATTATTTGATAATTATATTTAATGTTATTGTCCAATTGATTTGAATTATAAATAATGTATTAAAATCAAACCTTCTCTTAAAACACACTGAGTATTAATCTAATTACTTAAAATTTTAGAAAATTCCCATGATAATTTTAAATCATTTTTTTGTTTTAATTTGTCTTGTTTATGTATTACTCGTCTTTATTGTTTTTAGTTAAATGTAAAAGGGAAAAATGATACTTTTCAGGGGTAATGTGCTTTTTCTCTAAATATTTAAACAAATACATATCTATAACTCAAGCTCAAGAAAATTGATTAAGTTGGAACAAATTCCTTACCAATTGATAGTGCTATTAAAAAATTATTTTAAACTAAACTATTAGAAAACCAAATTGAACTATACTATAAAAAATATTCAACTATTTTTTTTATTAAAACTAAATTGAACTTACGTTTGATTTTAAAAACTAAATTACTATGAAAATCAATTATATTTAGTTTAAATCATAAGAAAAAGTTTGATTTAAAGTACAGAAATAGTTTAATTCAGGACAAAGTATAGTTTAAGTAGATGGAACATTGACTAGTGATTCCATAGTTACTACTTGTGTGAGCTTAAACTATTTTGCTTAGTTTTTGGTAACCGATTTTGGTTGACTTGACTTGTTGCTCCTTGGTCAAGTAGATGGAATTATTGATATGGATTACTTATCTTTAATCATGTGCTATTAAACTTGCCTTAGTAAAACAATAGTTCTAACACAAGTAAAAGTGTAGATCTTATTACTTCCAACGAAGTTGACGTGTTTAGAAGAAAATGTCAATTATACATGATGTTGTCTCTTTAACACTTGAGACCAAATCCGAGTTTAGTGATATCCTCCTGGATAAAGGATTTCAAAATGTTTTTCATGAGAATATGGTTTGTGTTACCACTTGTAAATTTTAGCCTTTTCAAAATAAACCATGTTGGACACGTTTCAGTTTTTTAGCATAAGTTTGAAAATAAGAGTTAATCTGAAATCAATTTTTTTAATAATGTAGTTTAGTTAAATTTTTAGTAAAGAGAGGTTTAGCTTAGTTTAAATTATAGTATAATTCAAACTTTTAAAACTATAGTTCACTAAATTAGAAAATAGTTTAGTTTAGTTTTTTTTAACTATTTTATAGTTTAGTTTAGATTAATTACTTTTATAATTCAGTTTAGTTAACAACTAATTTAGTTTAGTTTAATCCTTTTGAACACCCATAACTAGTGGAACAATTTGGACTTAAGGGGTTGCTGAAGACTAGTCAGCCACATCTTCAAAAACTTTTTCAACAATATACACACTTGTTTATGTTGATTATAAGGTCGGAGGTATAGGAGAGGTAGGATACATGGCTATAAAATTTGTCCTAGTGAGAGGATGTTGAGTTACCTTTGTTGTTCTAGGTTGTTGCATGTCATACATCACCATGGAGAATGCCTTGGATATAGAGACAGTCTTATATCCTTCCATTAATAGATCTCCTAAAGTATGCTCCAACTCCAACTCACATTGCTTTTTAGTTGCTTTAATTATAGGGGCTTGAAGCACTACCTAAAACAACTTTTCTTCTTCAGCGACCAACTTAGCCTTTTTCCATATTTTTTCTTGTAGTGAGAAACACTTGACGCGCTTCAAACGTTGCTCCTCTTAAAGCTTTATCTCAGGCTTTAGAAGCCCACGCACAAGGCATTGTCTTTTGGACTTTAGTGGTTGGGGAGTTTTAGTTATGGATTTTACTAGGAAAGATGGAGAGGGTTGAGGTTGAGAAAGACGAAAGGAGATGGGTTCATCATTAGAGTCTGATGATCAGTCATGAATGGTGATGGAGGGTGGTGATTGGTGAAAGAGAGTGACTTTTGTTTTCTTAGTAGGTAGAGAGGTAGGTGTTTAGGCTTGTGTTTGGACATGTTGGGTAGTCAAAGGGCCACATGAAAAACATTAGCATGTTGTGTGTCATTTGGGCTGAGGCCCAAGACCTTTTTCAAGCTTCACTTCACCAATCTTTCTCTTCAGTCCAAGAAGAAGGTGAGCAATCTCCATGCATCACAGGGTGGTGAGGGTGATCTTTATCACCCTTTTTCCCTTCTTGTAGTTGATAATGTTAATACCAATGGCCTCAATGAATCTTGTGAAGAGCATCCTATAGGGAATAAGTGCTCCCTTGCTATTATCATGGCCTCTCTAATTGAGACATGACTTCCAATGGTTGAACACAAAACTTGGCAAGTTTAGTGCAACCCATAAGTAAAGATGATATATGTACAATCTACAACATCTAAGACGTTATCTCTAGAACAAAATTGAAGGATAAACATGTTAAAAAGAAGGTTCTGCATCAGCCTACATAGTGGTTTCTGTTGGCAACATGGAGGAACTTCTTTTGTTTTACCTTGTCGGATGGACGCTCGAAGGAAGAGTAAAGCATGGTTTCCACAATCTTTTTCGAGATGACCTTCTCCCACCCTTTAAAGTAGGTCAAATTGATCTCTTTGCAGTTAAAGGATGTGCTTATCAAGGTTAAAGTGATTGTTATCCTTGACCATCCATTGTTCCTACAATGACATTATTATCGACCATTGAAGTTGCTCAAAAGTATGCATAAGGTGTTTGAAACCAATTACACTTTAGTTCAACAAAGTTGGACCAACCAACCTTGTTTAAGTAATGCTTGATAGAAAAGTCATCGTCGTCGAGCTTCTTCAAGTTGACAAATTTTTCAAGGAGTAAGTAAGTTTCAAGGGACTTCTCCATTGGGACCTTGCTTCTTCAAAGTGTTTGTTTGGGTGGCGTTGTAGAGTGAGTGGAAAAAAGGTTTATGAGAGGAAATGATAGGGTTCTTTGAGTAGGTTTTACAAAGGTGATACAAAAATTGTTAAGTGTTTTGAAAAAGGAGGGAAAACGATCTTTTGTTTGCGTAGTTGGTAAAGTGGAAAGACGTGTAGAAAGAAAGCTAGGTCATTAAATTCTCATTTGGCAACGTCTCTAATTGTCCCACTATTCCACACATGATTTATCCAAACCTTTTTTTTGTGATCATTAAAAAGCATTAAATGCAAGAGATACCTTTTCATGCGGAAGATGATACATTAGTGTGAATGTAACAATAAAACAATATGCATGATAGATTATGAAATGGTAGATGAAGCATATATGCATCAAATTTAGATGATGTATGATAGATGAAGTCTTATAAGATGAAGTATATCTAAGATGGTGTAATGATGATACTTAGTTTGAGATGCATTTCAAATCGAGATGACTTTTGATGAATCTAAAAGTGTTCTTTAGCCAAAACTTTAGTAAATATATCAACCTATTGATGATCAATAACAATAAACTTTATGTAAAAAAAAAACTTTTTTGTACTTAATCTCGAATGAAGTGATATCTTATTTCAATGTGCTTTGCTTTAGAATGTTGTATGAGATTTTTAAAAAAATTAATAACATTGATATTATCACAATATACATGTGTATTATGCTCATGACTAGAATAATTTTCTAATTGATATTTCACCTATAATAGTTATGAATAACAACTAGCAATAGAGACATATTCAACTTCTGTAGTAGAAAATGTGATGAGTTCTACTTCTTGATTGCCTAATAAATGATACAAGGATCCAGAAAATGAGATCTTTAACTCGGGTTTTTTCTTTCAACTCTTACCCCACCATAGTCTGCATTATACTAACCTGTTAACCTAAAATCTTTGTTTTTTTTTTTCATAGAACAAATTTAAGTTAATAGTTCTAGCAAGATACCTTAAAACATGGTTTATTGCTTTAAGATGAGACTCTCTATGATCATATTGGAAACATGCACAAAAACATACATTATACATGATGTCGGGTCTCCTAGTAATATATCTATATATATTTATCTCCTTTTTATTCGAAGATAATTTTACTTTATTTTATACAAACTTTTATCTGATTATCATCTACAATTCACCTATTATTATCATTTTCTAAAGCTGGGGCAGTTACTTTTTTTCTCTCTACCAGAAAACTAAATATAAATTTAAATAATAAATAAGTTTTTTCACAAAGATTTGAAGTACTCTCTTCATCGGGATAATTGAGATTTCGTATTCAATTATTTTACGTATTTTACGTCCCTTAAAACTTTTTGTTTTTGTCGATTAGACCTCCTAAGTCCTAATGCATCAAAGCCTCGACAGTGTGACATCAGTGGTTCAGACGTTCAGTCCGTTAAATTTTGATTTTGATTATAAAAAAAAGAACAAGGAGGAGAAGAGCGAAGTTGAGGCGCGGGCGACGGGGTTGTGTCGTGCACGAGTCGTATTAAGCAAAGCAACCACGTGGCCGTTACATCTCCCTCTACGAACCACTACCAAATCCGCAAACCCATCCCATTTTCCCGTTTCTTTTTCACTCTCCTCATTTCGCGTATCCCCATTAGAATATTCTCCGCTTCTGACTATTTTCGCAGTTCTAGGGTTTCACATTCTTCACGTTTCGGATCCCAACCCGCGATTCTCATTCCATCTCCTTTTTTCAGATAAGCCGCGATTCTAGTTGCACTTGTGTTTCAGATAATTCTTCTTTCCTCGCCCTTTCAAAATCTAATCAGATTAGGTATCCTCAATTCTTTTTGGAGTCACGATGCCGCCATTTTTTTCGAAGGCGCTTTGCTCCTTGGCATCGCGCAAAAGTGGTGTGAGTCAATTGATTAGGTCGAGCAAGAGTAGTGGAAAAATCGGTGGGTGCAGATGCACCACTACCATTACCGGCCATCACATTCAACCTTCCCTCTCTCGCACTGGCTTTTCTCGTCTCATCAGAGGATTTTGCAATAATAACAATAATTATAAATATAATGCTGTTCAATCGAGACGGTTTCTTGGAATCGGAGATGGTGAAGAAGACGCGCTGTCCAAAACTTACGAGGAGAGGCGCGTTTTGGGGTATTTGATTCTACCTCCCTTTGTTTATGTTGCCATATGTTGGACTCTATTGGTATTTTACTTTTATTATTATATTTTTGTTAGAATATAGATTTTTCCTATTTTATGACATTTTTGTGCATAATGATTTAGAATTAGTGACATTATTATGTAAATATTTTCCACTGTGGCTGAGCTGGTGGTTTCTGTTATCTTAATCAAAGCTTTTTTGATTACCCTCTTATACGAGTTGTTTCAATCCTTAGGAGAAAGTTGCTTTTAACTTGGTAATTTCTGTACCGAAATTATATGACTATGTTTGGATTTTAAAGGAAGCTTTATGAATCATCGTTTTATCATGGGCCTTGTATATACATTAGTGTTGAATTCAGAATATTTATACTTTGTCATTGTTTTCATTCTTTTATTTGTAGACTGATGTACTTATTCATTATTAGGTACTCTCCAGAGCAGTTATTTGATGTTGTTGCTGCTGTTGACTTCTATCATGGTTTTGTCCCATGGTGTCAAAGGTCGGACATACTTAGACACTATCCAGATGGATCATTTGATGCTGAGTTGGAGATTGGATTTAAATTCCTTGTTGAAAGTTATGTTTCTCATGTTGAGTTGGACAGACCAAGGCGTATAAAGGTATTCAACCTCCTCAACTATATGTGTTGTACTTACCTTTTTCTTGCATTCAGGAGGATTGCGGTTGTGAGTGTCTTCTTTTCCCCTTTTTTTTTTCTAACTGTTAGTTCACAACTTAAAATTTCCAAATTTAATGAGATCTATAGATATATTCAACCCAAAATTATTACCTTTGATTTAGCGTCCATCTTATTTAGAAGTTTATAGCTTTGGTGTTCAATAAAAACATTTTCATGCTGATTGAAAATATTGATGCCTTATATTGGCGTTGGGTGCTAACACCACATGTCTAACTTTAGACTAAATTGCACTTTCAGACTCTGGTACAAAAGAGTTGCATTCTGGTTCTTCTAGTTTGATCTGACCAATGTTGCTTGCTTATTTTTCACACTGATGTAATCAAGTCCCTTTATTGATTTCATTGTCTCATTGATGTAGAACACAGTTCCCCATAAACAACAAAACTGCCATATGAGCATCATTCTGATGGACAGACATAGCAGCACTGTAGCATCAATTTGAAATTTAGAGGGAAACATAAGACATTTTAAAACTAGATGAAGTAAAACTTTAACCATGTCTATGTATTAGCAATTTCTTAAGTTTTCCTAGGATTGGCAAATTGTCAAGTTAGTAGGCTCAGGCTCATCTTGTTTGAAAATAAAGGCAGTGCAGGTTCAAGTCGTGTCTTAATGAGAAAAAAATGAGATTAATCTCGGTCAGTTTAGTTACTGTATGTCTATATCGATCTAGTCCATATAAAGAAGTTTAACCTAAATGAACTCTAGGCAATTAAAACAAGCTTCAAACGGGTGTGATAGATACTGATAAGCAGTAGGAAAAATTAAGAGAACGAAGTTCTGATTACAATTTAAAAAGCAGAAGATTTAAATGCAGAGAAGAAAAAGGCCACTCACAGAAGCAGTACCTTCTCTGTCCTGTGGCATCAGTCACCCCAAAACTACCTGAAAGATGACCCCCCCACCCCCCCAGCAGCACCTTCTGTTTCTTTCATATTCACGTTCCCCTTCATGATTGCTGGGTCATCCTCTCCGGTATCCTGGTGCCATGTGTTCCCTCGTGTGAGGGATGCACATTACAGATTCATCCACTCCACCTCCCAAACTGCCCTTATTCAGTTATTCCTCCTTTCCCTTTTATGGTATACTTCAATTTGATGCCATCTGAGTGCCTGTACAAAAGTCAAAATGTTATATGTAAAATAATTATTTAGAGATGCAGGGGTGGGTGGTGGGGGGGGGGGGGTTCCTAGTTAGGAGTTAATTAAAAGTCAACTTATATCCTAGTAATCAGTAGCTAGCTTGTAGCCTAACTTGTAGCTGATCAACATAATTATGATTGATAATATATCCCAACATAAATGATAATATTATTCTAACAAATGTCACGTAATGGTGTTGACATTAATAATAGAGCTATTGGCACCTCACAGACAGATTTATTTCCTAATTAATAGGCATTTGTTAAACTCCTAGTAGCTCATATTGCACAATTGCATTAGCAGGACAGAGAAGCAGAACGGCCTTGGGCAGCTATGGAATTCAAACAGCGGAGTGGTTTTCAATAGTAGTCAAAAAACCAGCTATTCGTGCACTATAATATTGATATCATGATATAGCATTCAAAAAAATCATGATCTAGCCTTAAAATACTCAATTTTAACCCTGAAACATCAATTTTTTGGGGTACAATATTTGACAATATTAGATATCTCAACAAATAGAATTTCTTCTAATTTACATAAAACATGTATGGTTCTTGCTTTATTTTCACTCAATCAATTAATGAGCGAGGTAGTGAAACTCTCAAGCTTGGCTTGTTCATTAAATGAACTTCTCACTTGTCTCAAGCTCAGTTTGTTTTTTGTGAGATGATGCAAGCCAAGCCTGGGCATTTTTTCCTTAGTAATTTCTGATGGTATTTTTTTCTCTGCAACTTTGAATAGGGTTTACAATATATTTTTGTAGCATGCTATCTTGAGCATCATGTGGTCAGTTCGTGTGTGGCATACATTAGATACTTGTGGTGTTAGATCCTCTGGAGAAAACTTCTATAATCTAGCCCCCATGATATATGTGCTGAAATGACGATTGGCATATAAGATGCAGATTTGCACATCTTAGTTTAGTGCTGCTATTGCTAACTTATGCTAAATACTTATGATTGCGCTGCTATTGTTAAGTACTTATGATTGTTCTGGTCAAATCTTTATTGTTTCTAGATTACTGATTGGCTTTGATCCTTTCTAATAGACGATTGAATGTTATATATGGTTGTAGATTCACAAAGCATCACATGGTTCAAACTGAAACTTCTATTATTGTTTCTCTTCATTTCTTTCTCTCTTTTTAAATTTTGGTCAGAGTTTTTCTGTTCACTTCTACCGATTGCTATATTGTTGTACTTATACTGTACATTTTTTTGTGTTTCCAGACAACTGTGTCACAAAGCTCCCTGTTTGACCATTTGATAAACTTGTGGGAATTTAAACCTGGCCCTGTTCCAGGAAGTTGCAATCTTTATTTCTTGGTGGATTTTAAGTTTCAGTCTCCGCTTTACAGACAGGTATAGTTCTGTTATAATGTGTCTTTTCTCCACAACTTGCTTTTTGGTGTCTTTATGCTTTGATTGGAAAAAAATCCTATGTTGTCCTCACTTTTCTTTTTCTAGCACACCCTTTATGTTACTCAGTGTCTGGGGAAATCTTAATTAGTAGATACGTGTGCATGTTAAGGAATAAAGAACATGTGATTTTGCTGATCAAGTACCGCTGAGTAGCATTACCAATATTTTGGCATGACTTTCCCTCCTATGCACCTGCATTTGTAATTATAGAATGGCCTACACAACTCACTTCACAACACTGTTAAGACCACAAAGGTTGTCAAGTTATATTTTGTCATTTCGTTTAATGACTAATGAAATATTTTTTTACCGTGAACAGATTGCATCGATGTTCTCTAAGGAGGTAGCCGCTAAGATGGTTGGTTCATTCACTGAGCGTTGCCGTATAATATACGGACCGGAAGTGAAGGTCCTTGAAAACTCGTATGGAAAAAGGGCCTAAAGTAGTTTTCTGCACCAGTTTCTTGTCTTGAACATAGTTGAGGTCAATTTACAGTCTGCATCAATTGGGCGTGCTTTTATTGTTTTCCGCTCAATGCTAAATTATTGGTCATTTATCTTTCTAATCCCTAGAGTTATTTTTTGTAATATATGTAGATGAATTCTACAAAATACTGCGTACAATCTTGAAAGCGACATGAAGTTTAGATGATTATTTTTTTAATTGATATCTGGCGTTCCAAACGACCTCCTCCCCCAAAAAATGAAGAAAGAAAAAGTGAGCGCATATTCTAATTGCCTTTTTGGGAAAATTATTAATAAAATGCATTGAGAATTGCGGCCATATTTTTTTAACCCTCATCCCAATCTAATCCCCAATTTGGACCTATTTTCAGGGAATACAAAGGAATTAATTGTAAAAACTTTGGAGTTACATTCAAATGACCTATTGTTCATGCTGTAAAATGACAAACCCTTTGTAGTTGTGTATTCTACTGGCAGAACATATGTTAAATGCTTGTGGTCTCAGTTCCTTTTTTCCTCTTGATGTAAATACTTGACAAATCTCAATTAACGTACTAAAACACTAAAAATAGTTGCACAAGTTAAGATTAATACATCAAAATAGTATTTGAAGTTATTGGTTAATTTAGCCTTTGAATCATAAGAATATCATTCTAATTCTTATTTAATTATCAGGTTATAGTTATTTTAAAATTGATTTCCGATGGAATAAAATGATGATCATTTAAGTTCATAAAATTAAAAAAAAATTAAAAAAAATTAAAGAGAAATGATCAATATTTAATGTTTTAAAACTATAATATTTTTTGATTAAAAACAAAACTTAAATGCAATATAAATTTTGATAGCGTTATTCTTCTATCAGAACTAATATCTTATTTTAATAACTAGGGGTGAGCAACGGGCGGGTTCGGTCGGGTTCGGGTGAAAAATGTTCAACCCGTTATAAACCGACTTTGGAAAAATGTGACCCATATCCGACCGACTGAGCTTTCGGTTTGAGACGGTTCGGGTTACAACGGATTCGGATTTGGGCGGGTGGGTACAGTCGGGTTTGAGATTTTGTGTGGACCAAGTTATTTTAACGAAGGTGAAACTTAAAACGGTAAAAAAATATTTTTAAAACAGTGTACAAAAATAGAATGAAGGTAACAATAGATTATATAAGTAGATTCGTAAATGAAACATTTACAAACTAAAGAAGCAAAAACAAAAGATAACAAAGTCCATAGTTGTTACATGCAAAAGAAATCTAAAGTTAGATTACAAAATCTATAAGAAACCACTGTCGCACAAGTTGTACTCAAAATGGAGATAGGAAGATGGAAAAGAAAGATAAAGAAAGAAACAAAAAGAAAATTCTAAAAATAGACTAGTGTGTTGAGAAATTGAATGAAGAAGGAAAAGACAAAAGAAATATCTAGGTTATGAGAAAAAGAAAAAAAAAGTTACAAATTGATGACTATATTATACTTGAAATAAAGACTTTTGAGTTTGGACAATTGTTGTTTAGTTATACAAAAGTAATAAAAATATAAACTTATGTCATTTTCGGTTAGATTCGGTTTTTAGCGGGTTTAAAAATTTAAAACCGAACCCGCCCAATATAACCCGTATAAAATCAAAATTTTAACCCGATTTACCCGTAAAACCCGCCCGAACCCACCCAAAAGTAATATTTTTTATCGGGTTTTTCGGGTTCGGTTCGGTTCTCGGTTTTATGCTCACCCCTATTAATAACCGTTGTTTTCATTTTCATAACTAAAATTGACTCATGATTATTGAAAAAAAAAGTGTTGATTTTTTATTTTAAAGAAATACCAACAACTTTTGTTTTTTCAAAGACTGCATTGATTGGTGCTCGTAATTTTAGAGACCAATTTTGTATTACTTTGCAAGTTAATGCATAATGTCATCCTCTTTCGTCCATTAGCTACTTTTTTCAGTTAGTTTCCAAATAAAGGATGAACCTTAGAGATTCCGTTATCCTACCGAATTGAGGTATATTTCTAAAATGAAGACAATAATTATCAATAAAATTACACTTTCGTACACTCGACTTATAGCGTGTTTGGATATACGTATTAATAATATTAATAACTTCCACGTTGAACGTGGTTTTCCAGGTTGAACGTGGTTTTCCACGTTTTCAACATATATCCAAACACGCTCTTAATTTTGAATCACATTCACAGACGCGGGTATCGCCGGGCTTCTTTACCGGTATCTGCAGGCACTTAAAGGTCTTGGTCAAATATAAAGACACAAGAAATAAGCAGAAAGAAAATATATTTATTACCTATGGGGAAAGTGAAGGGTGTATCATAGTGGACATTAAACTCTCCACCAAATTCTTTGCAATCAAATATCCTAACAAAGTAAATTAGGCTGACAAGACTACAGCTTTTTTTTATTGAGTATACATCATGTTGTTCAATGAACTTTGTAAGATACAAAAATTGACTAATTTTCCTGCAGTGCACAACCGTCACTGAGGGTGCCGTGAATTCATCTCTTGAAGTTAACCTAAGATATCTTCAGCTTCAAGAGACGAGTACTTGAGGATGGCTGCAACAATCCTATCTTTGTCTCTGGTTGGGAATGCTTCCAACAGGACCCCATCTTTGTAGAAGTGGAAAAGAGGCACAGCCTGCATCAGTTTGTTTCCTTTTCAAATTCAACGTATCATAAAGCACGAATACCGCAAGTGTAGTGAATGCATGCAGTAGCTACTAGCAAAAATGATGCACAGATAGGAAGTAGATAGAATTAATTAACCATAAATGAGAGGGAAGAAAGAAAAGATAGTCTTAAAGATAAACATCAAAAGAAAAGACAAGACAAACCAGAACCAAAACGATGGCATGGTGCACCAGCTAAATAAACTAGAAAAATCATGCATATGAAGACACTAACCACAAAACTTTGAAGACAAGTTGGACAAACATTTAGATTAGATTAATTGCTGATGCTTAGCTGTCTCAAAGGGAGGCAGGTCTGTTTTATACAGATTAAGTTTCATTTGATACTAAGTAATCAATAAAAGAGAAATACCCTGATTCTGAGTCGGTCAGCAACCTCGGATTGCTCATCATATTCATCCATTACCTGCAAGCAATAGCGTAACAATCTATAGATAAAATTTTAACAGGCTCAATCTAATAAATAAAATTAAAACTCTAGTTTGAGAGACATGATAAAGTAAATATCAGTTCATCATGACTTTCTTCTCCACAGCTTGTAGAGAACTTTGTATAATAGAGGGGAGAGGATGAGCATATGTAGTTCCTAAACTTGTACTTAAATTTCACTTGTTTTTAGTTCTTATATAGTTATATTTATTCAGAAACTAATAATAAATAAAATTTAATAGGGACTAAAAAAAACTAATTTCCAAGAAGAATAATAAAACATAAATGTTCGTCCGAATCTGAAATATAGAGGAGCTAAACACATAGCATACTTACATTATGCTTTAGAAAGATTACCGGAGCATCATGATCACCAGATTTCTTGCACAATTTTGCAAAACCCTGCTCTATATACTTGCAGCTTCCACAAGAGGTGCGGAAGAAATCCACCACCACCAAAGATCCATTTTCTTTAGCCTTGTCCAGAATTCTGCTGAACTCTTCATCAGTGGTGAATTCTCTTACACATTCAACGGGACAGAGATCGTCATCTTCATCAGACAAATTTTCTTGATATTCATCCGCAACTCTTATCCTACTAGGGCAGAATGTGTGCCCGATCTTCACTAGAGGTTCAATCTTTGTTCCACCAAGACATAGTTTGCCATGACCGTGCCTAGGAACCAAGTTAAAAACTACATGGGAAATTCTAGACTCAACTGGTTTCTGTACATCTAGTCTAACACTGAAAAAGGACTTGCTATTTTGCCCGGGAATGACAACCTGCTGCATCTTTTGCAAGCAAAATCCTACACGGCCAATAATCAAGAGTTTGGGAGAGAATTTTTTGACGAGTTAGCTGGTAGCTGGTGGTACCTCATACAAAAGAATAATGGGTTTCAATTGATTCACGCATTTCTTAGGCACAAGTCTGAGCTAAGGGACAAGGCAACAATACCATACAGTCATACACAAACATCATAGAGGAAAGGATAAACAATGACCAATAACGAAAATGACTTTCCCAAGCTAGAGTGGGTTACAAACAAAATCTCTAAAATGTGAACTATTTGGCAAATGGAAAGATGATTATAAATGGCTGTGATTCAATGGACATTGATGTTTATATAACAAAATAACACTTAGTACAATCATTTCGAACTGGAAGCCAAACAGAGTGTTGGGAGATCATGATCTTTAATTTGGAGGGAGCAGCAATCAGAAATCAAACCCCTAGGATATTGCACATCCACTCAGCCCTGCTTTTGAGAATGGGGGAACATGTTAAAGTAAAAGGAAAGCCATTTCATTCCAAAGTCGGAGCAAGAACACACACACGCACACACAAAACCTTTATAATAACACCTACTAAAGAATGCAACCCAAACCTTTATATCAACATGTTTGATCTGCTAGTGGGGTCAACTTAGTATTCACTTTAATTCTTATTTCAGGGGTGTTGTACAACATAAGATTGGAGTTGAATAATGCAAAAAAGGTATATTGTAATGCAAAAGGTGAGAATGAAATGTAAAATGCGGCGAGAGAAACAAATAAATGGTATGAAGTAGTGAAAATGAATCAGAAACAAAAACGTTGAGAATTGAGAAAGAAAGGGGTAAGGTTTGATTTTGAGTTGAGGAGAGGAAGAATGAGTTACCTGACACTCACAGAGGAATCGTCGAAACGAAAAAGCGCGGTTTTGCCATATTATCTCTGCACACCAAACTTCGAATGAGGAGAAGACACGCACTCTCCATATCCATCCGCACTGTGGAATCTGATTTATTCCGTTTTCCTAATATTTTATTTATTATATATGTTGTCTCAAAATTTAATATTTATTTTTTATTTTAAAAATAACTTTTATCATAAATTATTATTCAATATATCTACGTTATTTTTTCTTCGTATAAATATTCTAAAATTTTATCTTGAATTAATCTAATTCAACTGAAAAATAAATAAAATTCAATAAAAAAATTATTTTTATCAAAATATATTATTCGAATAATTTAATTTTCGATTAAATATAAAAAATTAATATTATAAATATTTTAAAAGTTAAATATAATTTTTAGTTTTTGAGAACATGATGCTACAATTTTGTTTTGGTCTTCGTCACTTGTGAGACTGCTTTTATAATGTGTGAATCTTTTTTTAAACTCTTTTTAAGGTTTTAATATTTTAATCATATTAAATATGATTACAGAGAAGATATATTTATGTTATTTTTTAAAAATTATTTCATATATAATTTCATAATGTCTCAATTTTATTTTTAGTTATTATCAAAAGGATCTTTCAATAGTTAAAATATATATGTTTTATAGGTTATTATTTCTTTTCTTATTTTATCAATATATGACTTTGTTTGTATTCCAACTCTATTGTTTAACGATTATTTTAAATAATTTTTAATATTTGAAGAATTTTGTAATATGATTTTTAATATTTATACTACTTATATAATTATGTCATAAATTTAATGATTAAGTATTACCAATAAGTTTTTTTTATATATTATTAATTAATAATAAAAAATTATTATTAATGTGATTTCAATATATTTAATTTAGTGTATCATTCAATAAATTTATCATATGAGTATTGATGATTTTTATTTATTTATTTATTTTTGGATTCATGCGAATCGGATTGAGAGCCAGACCCTCTTGTGATTAGATGAGCATATAATTGAATAGTCAATTTTCTCCTTTTAACGAGTATTTAAGATAAAGAATAATATTTAAAGATAAATAGATGATCTATTCGAATTTGACATTATGAATGCTGATATAAACACACTCTAAAGAAGCGCGAGTGATTAGTTGCACTACGCATCTCAGATTATCTTCTGGCAGTTATAGACACACAAGACCTCCACGGCCGTGGTAGATAATAGTAATACAATTCTGAAAAGCACCCATTCTTTGACTTGCCAATTTATACATTCGATTTTTATTTTCATTTCCCATCACAATATTTAATATTTATGTAATATATCAGATTTTTAGGGACTGGAAAAGGATTAATTATTGCTCCCATTAACTATTCGTGATGAAATGAAGTTAGCTTCTAACCTTAATCTGTCTCTCTTCCATGATGCAAGCTCTGCACTCCTTATCTTTCGACACTTTTTACAAGCTAATGCCAATCCCAACCATGTTACCTTTTCGTTACTCATCAAAACGTGCCTTTCCCACTCTTCTTTTTCATCCACTTCGAGGATACAAGTACACCAGATTCATACCCAGTTGTTGAAACGGGGCATTGACCAATTCCTATATGTAAATACGGCTCTCATTGACTTTTATATGAAACTTGGGTTCACCACCCACGCACGCCAACTGTTCGAAGATATGCCCTCTAAAGATGTTGTTTCATGGAACGTATTGATTTGTGGGTATTCACAAAATGGGCATCCTCATGATGCTCTTCAACTCTTTGTGCACATGCTGAGACAGAGTTTCAGACCTAACCAAACAACAATTGCTAGTTTGCTACCTTCTTGTAGTTGCCGTGAACTTTTTCTTCAGGGTAGATCCCTTCATGGGTTTGGAATCAAAGCTGGCCTTGGTTTGGATCCTCAATTGAGTAATGCCCTTACCTCAATGTATGCCAAGTGTGATGACTTGGAAGCATCCCATCTCTTATTTGAAGAAATGGCTGAGAAGAATGTTGTTTCTTGGAATACCATGATTGGTGCCTATGGCCAAAACGGTTTTTTGGACAAGGCAGTATTGTGCTTTAAAGAGATGCTGAAGGAAGGTTTGCAACCCAGTCCAGTGACAATGATAAACCTTATGTCAGCTAATGCTGTTCCACAAACTATCCATTGCTATATTATCAAATGTGGCTTCACCAGTGATGCTTCTGTTGTAACCTCACTAGTTTGTCTTTATGCAAAGCAACGGTTCACTGATATGGCGAAATTGATTTATGAAAGTTATCCCACGAAAGACCTGATTTCGTTAACTGCAATAATCTCTAGCTATTGTGAAAAAGGTGATGTAGAGTCTGCGGTTGAGTGTTTTATCCAAACTATGCAGTTAGACATAAAACCAGATGCAGTTGCCTTGATTAGTGTCCTTCATGGAATTACTAATCCTTCTCATTTTCCCATTGGGTGTGCTTTTCATGGTTATGGATTGAAAAATGGGCTGAGTAATGATTGCTTAGTTGTAAATGGGCTAATAAGCATGTATTCAAGATTTGATGAGATAGAAGCTGCTTTGTCTTTGTTTTTTGATAGGAGTGAAAAACCATTGGCCACTTGGAATTCTGTTATATCCGGCTGTGTTCAGGCTGGAAAATCAAGTGATGCCATGGAGTTGTTCTGCCAAATGAACATGTATGGACAAAAGCCAGATGCTATTACTGTCACTAGTCTATTATCGGGGTGTTGCCAGCTGGGGTACCTGCGGATAGGAGAGACTCTACATGGATATATCCTTAGAAACAATGTAAAAGTGGAAGATTTTACAGGAACTGCTCTAATAGATATGTATACCAAGTGTGGAAGATTAGATTATGCTGAAAAGGTATTTTATAGCATCAATGATCCATGTTTGGCAACATGGAACTCCATCATATCTGGTTATAGTTTATATGGACTTGAACACAAAGCTTTCAGTTGTTTTTCTAAACTGCAAGAACATGGGCTAGAACCGGATAAAATCACCTTCTTGGGAGTTTTAGCAGCATGCACACATGGGGGACTTTTTTACACAGGAATGGAATACTTTTGTAGCATGACAAAAGAATATGGTTTGATGCCAAATTTGCAGCATTATGCTTGCATAGTTGGTCTCTTGGGTCGGACAGGGTTGTTCAAGGAAGCAATTGAAATCATTAACAACATGGAAATTCGGCCTGATTCTGCTGTTTGGGGAGCACTTTTAAGTGCTTGTTGCATTCAAGAGGATGTAAAGCTTGGGGAATGCTTGGCGAAAAAATTGTTTTTATTAAATTACAAAAACGGTGGGTTTTATGTATTAATGTCAAATCTTTATGCGATTGTTGGGAGGTGGGATGATGTAGCAAGGGTGAGGGATATGATGAGAGACATCGGAGGAGATGGATGTTCAGGTGCTAGTGTTATTGAAGTGACACCCCTTAGAGACTCGAATAACTTGTGCCCAAGTGAGTTCCATTTGAATACCAGCACTTGGCAGCATTTGTGTCTATATTGACTTCACAGTACCATAAATAACGCAATTTTCCGCTATCCAAATAGGAGTTGAGTATTGATAGAAATGTCATTCTCGCGGCTTTTTGACCCTTCTAGTATAATTTTTTTTTAAAAAAAACTTATTACGTAAAAGAACTGATTTTTAACATCTTTGAGAGATAGTGTTTTCTATGAGTTAGAAGAAAGAAAAAAGAGAGTGTAGTTATCGATACCTATAAAAAAAGAAGAAGAAGAAGAAGAAATGATGTTATAGGTCATGTATAAATGATAAGATAAATTTTATATATTCATGTATAAATTTCCTCTAAACATACATATGAGTGTTAAGAATGAAAGAACATGGGAGCGCGGAGGAAGTGGCATGGTGACCAGGGCAGGGAGGCGTACGAGGAGGGTCTTGCTAGCTTCTTCACAAGGTTTCCGATCGGGTTCAAGGAAGTGGAACTGTGGAAAATTTTCCAAAAATATGGAAGCGTTAAAGAGGTTTTCGTAGCCCAAAGGAAGAACAAATGGGGAAGGGAATATGGCTTCGTGAGGTTTGCGGGTGTCACGGATGCCATGGCGTTGGCAGATCAGCTGGATAAGATCGTCATAGGCAATAATAAAATGCATGTCAATATACCCAAATACCGGCGGTGGGAATGGAGAAGAACAGAGCATAAGGCAAAGACTGAAAGAAATGGAGGTAAGCAAAGGCACTACAAACCAAACTTCGTGAGCAACGGGAAGACATATGCACAAGTGTTAAAACAAAATGGTGGGAGGAACCAAGTATGGAAGGAAGTCAGAGATGGAGGCGTGGAAAAGGACGACGAACAGTGGAAGGGGTACGATGTCAAAGTAGAAGAGAAAAATAACGTGTGGCTAGAAAGTAGTTGGGTGGGGAGGATGCTCGAGCTGTCCCTATTTGACAAGATACAAGAGACGGTTGTTCCATATGAGTCGCGAGATATAAAGTTAAGGTATTTAGGGGATGACTTGGTACTTATAACAGGCTTAGATGAAGAAACGATTAAGGAGAGGTTACATGAAGAAGATGGTTGCCTATCTATGTTGCACTCTATTCAAAAGTGGAGCCCGGATGTAGCTGTAGGAAATAGAATGGTCTGGGTTCGTTGCTATGGAGTTCCACTCCAAACATGGGGAGTGGAGGTTTTTTCAAAGATTGTGAGTATACATGGGTCCTTCATTAAATTGGATGATGACACAAGCAACTTCCATAGGCTGGACTATGCTCGGATCCTTATTCAATCATCAGACTCAAAGCCAATCCATTTTAGCGACACTATGCGTGTAAATGGGCATATACGTCATGTCTCCATCATTGAAGAATTTGGTGCGCAGGCAGCTACGTGTCATTGTTGGAAATGGGATTCAAGTGAGTTCAGCATGTCTCAAGGAAGTGACTCAGGGGGTGATAGATGGTCCTTTGAATCGGGATGGTCTAGAAATATGAACGAGATGGGCGACGAAGCATCTCAGGAGGTTACTCAGTTCAAGGCAGAGATGGTAGGGGAACCGGTGGAGAATTTTTCAAACTTTGACACGTCGTGTAAAGACCGTCAGTCCAACAGCAAAGCTGACCTATTAGATGGGACAAAAGATAGCCAAAAGTTGACAAGCACGAAACTGAAAAGTATAAGGGACGAAAAGGATGGAGCAGTGGCTGCGGAGTTGGTAAATGCAGAATGCAATAATGGCTCTGACATAAGGATTAGCATACAAAATACTGGGGAAAGTGATGGGCAACTAGATGCTGATGGGCTAGCTACTAAAACGACTGAGTGTGGGCCTATAGTTTGCAGGCCTTCTATGGACCAAGCGGTGGGAATGAGCCTCCAACAAATAGTGGCCATGGAGACGAGTCCAAAATATATTGATCCACATCAGGAACACCTCTCGCAGCCAGGCAATGAAGAATGCTGCATTAATTCATCCCCAACGAAGATGGGCCTCACACCTCTTGAACTTGACCATCGGCCACTAAATGGCCACGTTTCTCCACTCGACGTGGTTAGCTAAGGTGGTGCAAATATTCCACAGATGACCGATATGAGGCAGCCATTCATAAGAGTAAATCCTATAGGTACTACAATGCATTATGCAGGTGGAAGAAACAAGGCCGTGCAGAAAGAAGGGGGTAGCACCTCTGCAGTGGCTATGCGAAAGAAAGGAAAGGAAAAACCACTTACTATCTCGCTTAGTAATACGCTTTCTGACTCAAACTTTGTTAACTGCAATGCTATTTTTTGGCTGAAAAGAGATGCAACTGAAGCCCACAAACTATGGGAACTAGGGAAATTTTTGGGGGTAGCATGTGAAGGAATGGAAGCAGAGGCAATTGAAAAGGTTAGGATGATGGAATTTCGTGACCAAAAAGAAAAGCAAAGATCAAATGGGGCATTTGGGAAGGGTCAAGTACAATGTGATCAATGAGAATAATGTCCTACAACATAAGAGGTTTGGGAGCCAAGATCAAATGGCGATATATAAGAAAGTTGGTGTGTAGGGAGAAAGTTCAGGTACTGTGTCTACAGGAAACAAAGTTATCGGAAGCCAGCAAAAAATTATGTCAAACTTTGTGGGGAGATACCAATGTTGAATCAGCTGCAATTCCTGCTATCAACTTGGCAGGAGGGTTATTATGCTTGTGGAACAACGAATGCTTGGAGGTAACTAATACTTTTATGGGACCTGGTTATTTAGGTTTGGAAGGAATCTGGAAGCAGGATGGGCATCGCATAGTAATAGTGAATGTGTATGCTCCATGTGGATTAACATAAAAACGAGAGCTATGGGGACAACTAAAACACAAGAAAGATCAAAGTACTATAGATAATTGGTGTGTTTTGGGTGACTTTAACAGTGTAAGACGTTAAGGCAAGGTATTGCAGCTGGAGATCATGGGGCTGTGGACAGAGAGGAGTTCAACTCTTTCATCTTAGATATGGAGCTTGAAGACATACAAGTAGTGGGAAGGAAGTTTACTTGGTATAGGCCTAATGGAATGGCTCGAAGCAAACTGGATAGGTTCCTCATCTCTAATGGTTGGGCGACAGCATGGCCAGGAAGTACACAATTCATCTTATCAAGGAATGTGTCAGATCATTGCCCTATCCTATTGAAGGTTGCTAATTTGGAGTGGGGACCTAAACCGTTCAGATCATTGGATTGCTGGTTCCAAGATAAGAATTTCATGGAATTTGTTCGGAAGGCTTGGTCGGAGATACATGTACAAGGGACAGGGGCACTTATTTTAAAAGAAAAACTCAAAGGACTGAAAGGGAAGTTGAAACAGTGGCACAAGGATAACTTTGGAAATCTTCAGAAGCAGCTGAGCCAGGTGGAGGCCTCCTTAGATGAGATAGATAAGAAAGCAGATGATAGAGAGCTGCAAGATGCAGAGAGAACCGAGAGAGTACTATTGCAAGAAAAGTTCTGGAGTCTAGCAAAGCGAAATGAATCCATCCTCAGACAACAATCAAGAGTCAAGTGGATGGCAGAAGGAGACTGTAACTCAAAGTATTTCCACTCGATAGTCAATTGGAGGAGGAAACAGAATATGATTAGTGGATTGAAAATTGCAGGTGCATGGGTGGAGGACCCACAACAAGTTAAAGAAGAAGTGAGGAACTACTTTAAAGATCGATTCTCGGAAGGAGGTTGGAGAAGACCAAAAATGGACAGTGTTGTCTTTAATCAAATAACAGAGGCGGATAATGATGATCTAGTAAAAGTCTTTCAGGAGTCAAAGATAAAGGAAGCAGTGTGGTAAAAGTCCTGGCCCAGATGGATTCAATTTTAAGTTTATCAAACAATGTTGGGACAACTTGAAGGAGGATATCATCAGATTTATTAATGAATTTCATACGTTTGGGAGACTTCCGAGAGGGTTAAACCCGTCCTTCATTGCACTTGTGCCAAAAAAAGTGGACCCCCAACAACTGAGTGAGTACAGACCTATCTCACTCATTGGCTGCATGTATAAGATTCTGGCTAAATTGCTTGCAAAACGTATAAAAAAGGTTCTCCCAAAAGTAATAGATCCAGCTCAGTCAGCCTTTGTTGAAAATAGGAATCTTCTCCATGGGGTGGTCGTACTTAATGAAATTGTGGATGAGGTTAGAAGGCAAAAGAAGTCATGCTTAATATTCAAAGCAGATTTTGAAAAAGCATATGACTCTGTGAGCTGGGAGTACTTGAAATACATGATGCAAAGGCTTGGTTTTTGCGATAAGTGGATAAGCTGGATATTGGAGTGCCTCCACACAAGCACCGTGTCTATTTTAGTTAATGGGAGTCCTACAGAAGAGTTTATTCCACAGAGAGGTCTCAGGCAGGGTGACCCACTAGCACCGTTCCTGTTCACTATCGTGGCTGAAGGCCTTACAGGGCTCATGAGGATGGCAACTTCTAAAGGTAAATTTGCTGGGTATCAAGTCGGGGAGAAAAAGGTGCCAGTCAGCTTATTACAGTATGCAGATGACACAATTTTTATCGGAGAGGCAACCATGGAAAATGTAATTACAGTCAAGTGCCTCATGAGGAGTTTTGAATTGACATCAGGACTCAAAGTCAACTTTCACAAAAGCAATGTAGGCATTTTAGGTGTGAACAACAGTCTTACAAAAAGGTATGTAGACTTGCTAAATTGCAAATCACTCCACTTTCCATTCTCATACTTGGGTCTGCCAATCGGGGCCTCAGCTAGGAGTTCAGTTACATGGAAACCGGTACTACAGAAGATTAAAGATAAGCTTGCCAACTGGAAACACAGGTTCGTATCTATGGCTGGGAGAGTCTGTTTGATTAACTCAGTGCTATCAGCTATCCCCTTCTATTACTTGTCTTTCCTTAGGATGCCAGCATTAGTACATAAAAAGTTGATAGCTATTCAAAGGCGATTTCTTTGGGGCATGGACGAAGGGACAAAGAAAATCTGCTGGGTAAAGTGGGAAACGATCACGTCTCCAAAAAGTCTAGGAGGGTTGGGGATAAAGGACATGAAATGTTTCAATGCCTCTCTACTTGCAAAGTGGCGATGGAACTTATTCTATCAAAAAGATACCTTGTGGAGTCGCATCCTTGACTCAAAATATGGTGGCCATGGTAGCTTGGGAGGGGGACAACGAGGTCGACAACATAGATTCTGGTCTGAGTGGTGGAGGGATCTACAGAAATGTTGTGGAAGTCATGAGCAGTCACAATGGTTTGATAAAATTAAGAGGTGGAAAATTGGGAATGGGGGTGAAATTAACTTCTGGGAGGATGTGTGGATAGGAGAAGAAAGTTTGTTGCAAAAGGTTCCTCGGGTGTATGTCAACTCAAAGCAACAAAGTTATAAGCTGGCTGACATGGGCTGCTGGGAGGGAGAGGATTGGCACTGGCAATTCCAATGGAGAAGAAACTGGCTAGAGAGAGATCAAGAGCAATGGACATTCTTTCAACATGCAGTCTCCACAGTGGCCTTGCAAAAACATGCTAAGGATAGATGGGTGTGGCCTATTGATAAGTCAGGATTCTTCTCGGTCAGCTCTACCTACAAGGCATTACATGATCTCAAGTACAATGGTCAGGTGGACGACTTATTGGCTCACATTTGGCATATGAAAATCCCACCTAAAGCTGCGATCTTGCAATGGCGTCTGCTACATAATGCTCTTCCTTCAGTTGATAATCTTCTAAGAAGAGGCATCGTCTTGCCTCCTCTAGAC